TTAATTAAATATTAATTAAAAAAAAATTATTAATTATTTAATTTAATAAAAAATATATTAAGATGTTAAGAAAATTAGTTTCAATTATTTAATTAAATTTAATAAAATTGATTATTAATTTTAATTTATTTTTAAAAATGTTTTCATTCAACTTTTAATTTCAAATAACAAAACTTTTTGAATACTTTTCTATTATTTATTAACTAATAAAAATATTTGTATTTTATAAATAGAAAATCTTAAACAGCTCTTCGATTTTTTCAGAAATACATAGCCACCTCCTAATGAAATAAAGGAAGTAATAGCTATTCAAATGTTAGAAGGATTGAATAACCTTCATGTGAAAAATATCATGCACAGGGATATCAAACCTCACAATTACCTAGTTTCCCCTTCTCAAACTTATGGATTTACCATCAAGCTCTGTAAAAAATTTTAATTATCACTAAATTTATCAATTTAAAAAATTATTAAAACTAAAGGTGATTTAGGTTTTGCATCTACAGTAACAAAATCGAAAAGCCATTATCTATCAAAGGTGAACATCGAAATATTATTTAAAATTAATCTTACATTATTTTAATCTATAGAAAGGAACTGATGCTTACTTCGCTCCTGAGGTAGAAAAGGGATAATCAAGAATTCAGGTTTTTAAATAAAACTAATCTTTAAATTATTAATTTAATTTTAATGCTTAAAAGTCGGACATCTTTTCTCTAGGACTAGTTTTACTTGAGCTAGATAATCTGAATGTGCTAAATGATAATTGGATTGACTTGGAAACAAAGGCAGAAATTTATAAAGGAAAAGCAATAGCTTCGAAATATTAGATTGATAGAAAGTCTAATATTTATAAAATAGCTGAGATTTGCTTAAAACCAAATTATTTAGAAAGGAAAAGTATAGGAGACCTACTTTATGAGCTTATTAATCTTCATGGATAACCACTGAAATTCATACTCAGGTCTATGATATTAAAAGTAATAAATGCATTTATCATTATTATTATAAATAATTTTCCATTAAAAAAACAATTAAAAGATAATATATTACATTAAATATCTGTGAATAGTTTTTAAAA